CTAGCCTAACCAAACATCTGCAACTTTACACCATCCAGACTGCACTCTACTTGTCCCTGACGGCTGCTGAAAAAGGTTTGAATCAACGATGAATCCGTTTTGACCGCTAAATTCTGCGTTATGTTCTGCAATGTGTACTTCCGAGGGTTAAAGTCATCGGTTCATTTCTTGATTGCCGTTTTGACAGTGTCCACCTGGACATTTTAGTCATATTGGCTAATTCTCCTTAATTATTGCCCTGTTTTGATCTGTTTTGCTGGAAAATTTATTTATTTTTTATTTTATTTTATCATCGTTATTTTGTTTTAAGTAGATACAAATTGTGCTTATCAACCTTAAATGACATGGTAATGAAATTATATCACATTATTTTGGCAGTAAAATTTTGGGCGTTTTTTTCTTGTATTGGGCGGGTTTTGGTGAGCTTTTGGGCTGGAAATCACCGTCCCAATCTGGCAACACTGGGTGTAACCTGTCCATGTTCACGTCAGGCTCAGTAACACACACATCTGAGTGTCACCAGACCCTCTCACACAGTGTTGTGTTCCCAGCGCTGTTAAAGCCACACACACACGGGTATTGTGATATAAAAAATTCATACCATAACAAAAATAAACACTGGTATTCGGTATGAACCGGTATACCGCCCAGCACTATGTGTGTGTGTGTGTGTGTGTGTGTGTGTGTTGGTTTTTCACTTTGTGTGTTGGTTTTTCACGTGTGAGTGTGTGTGTGTGTGTGTGTGTTCAGGCGGGTCCTCCACGGCACTGAAGATGTCCTCCACGCGTCTGCCGTCCCCGAAGGCTCTGATTGGCTCCTCGTCTCAGATCCTGCAGATCCCCAAGGCCCAGCAGACGGTGCAGTGTGTGTCTCCCAAAGCCCTGCAGGCGCTGGCGTCTCCTCAGGCCTCGGGCCCCGGGGCCAAACCCACCATACAGATCAAGCAGGAGTCCGGTGAGCACACACACACACCCCGGCTCACTGCCGTTAGCAAACCGTACAGGGCCTTGATACTCAAAGACAATACATATAATACAATATTATATTGTACTTGATGCTCGTACTCACACTGAGTCCGGAAGTATCGTATGCGTTTCTCGTATTCGTCATCTTGGTGCTCTGATTGGTCAAAACTCCTCTCGAAATGCTTGCTAGGATGCGAAAAACGCAGAAAATCGAACCCGATCTGAATTTTTTTACGACGTCCGAAGGTTACGGAGGCAGTGTGTGGACGTGATGCACACAGCGTGAGGTTGTATTTATTTTTTGACGGACTCGGTGTGACCTTAATGACCTGTCACTGAATTAAAAGTGTGTTTCAGAGTGAGTCGCAGCACTGTCATTTACACACGAGCGCTCTGATCCGCAGGCACACGGACACACAAAAGCCCGGAGAAATTATTTTAATTTTTAACATTTTTTGTAATACAGTACAGTTGTACTTTTAAATAAAATAGTTATTTTATTTTTCTTAAAAGCTTTTTTTTAATTTATTTGTTAAATATTTTTTATGCTGTGGCGCCTTTTTCTCCTTTGGCTTGTTTAGTTGGGGACATTAAATTTAACATTTAGTTTAATATTCAGCAATATTATTGATCTCCTGCATTGACAGCATTATATGAGAACTGAACTGAGCTGGACGATGACATCACGGTTTACTCCAGAGCCACTATATATATATATATATAAATGAACTAAATTAATAACTTTTTTACAACAGAAATGAAGCATCACTGAACTGGCTTAAGCTGGACTGTGACGCTATTCTCTTCTGGAAACACACTGTTGCATTATTCTCCTGTTATCTCTGTAAAGCTGCTCTGACACACTCTGTAAAAAGTATAAAAGCGCTGTATAAGTGAAGCTGACTTGACTTGTGTCTGTGTGTGTGTGTGTGTGTCTGTGTGTGCGTGTCTGTGTGCCTGTGTGTGCGTGTGTGTGTGTGTCTGTGTGTGCGTGATTGTGTGTGTGTGTGTGCGTGTCTGTGTGTGTGTGTGTGTGTGTGTGTGTGTGTGTGTGTGTGTGTGTGTGTGTGTGTGTGTGTGTGTGTGTGTGTGTGCGTGTGTGTGTGTGCGTGTGTGTGTGTGCGTGATTGCGTGTGTGTGCGTGTGTGTGTGTGTGCAGGTGTGAAGATCATCACGCAGCAGATGCAGCCCAGTAAGATCTTGCCCAAGCCCTCGGGTGCCGCCCTGCCCAGCAGTAGCTCCGCCCCCATCATGGTGGTCAGCAGCAACGGGGCCATCATGACCACCAAACTGGTGTCCAACCCCACAGGTAAATGGATGTAGGTCTATATATATGGGTTGTGTCAATAAAAAATATATTTTTAAAGGGTTGCTCTTAAAGAAGTTTGAAATGCTCTGTTTCGCAGGCACTCAGGCCACTTACACTCGTCCGTCGGTCAGCCCTGCGCTCGGCACTCGAGTGTCGTCCCCCGCCGGAGCCACGTACGTCAAGACCACCAGCGGCAGCATCATCACCGTCGTGCCCAAGTCCCTCGCCACGCTGGGGGGCAAGATCATCACCAGCAGCATGGTGTCAGGTGACAGGCCGTCCCAGCGGGGGTTCCTGGGGGGGGGGCTGTAAGATTACAATAAAATACACACCTGTGCCAAAGTACATGCAGTTGGCCATAACACAGGCAACATTATCATGAAAACTGAACTGAAAAAGACAAATTCAATAAGGTTGCGCAAGGGTTAATTAGCTAATTTCATTGTACAGGTGAAAACCGAAAAATTAGAATATGGTGCAAAAGTTCATTTATTTCAGTAATTCAACTTAAAAGGTGAAACTAATATATTATATAGACTCATTACATGCAAAGTGAGATATTTCAAGCCTTTATTTGTTAAAATTGTGATGATTATGGCTTACAGCTTATGAAAACCTTTTCACAATATTCTAATTTTGAATTTGGTGTTTTCATAACCTGTAATTCATAATCTTCACAATTTTAACAAATAAAGGCTTGAAATATCTCACTTTGCATGTAATGAGTCTATATAATATATTAGTTTCACCTTTTAAGTTGAATTACTGAAATAAATGAACTTTTGCACCATATTCTAATTATTCAAGGCGAAATCCATTTATTTCCGAGTTTATCACGCCACTGTAGTCACGTGTGGTTGTGGCGTTCTGCATTGACAGGAAGCACCACGAAGATCACCACCATCCCCATGACGTCGAAGCCCAACGTGATCGTGGTGCAGAAGACCTCGGGCAAGGGAACCACCATCCAGGGCCTGCCGGGGAAGAACGTGGTCACGACGCTGCTGAACGCTGGGGTGAGGTCACGTGACCGTCACATGACGCGTGCGGGCGGTGCTGCGGCGCTGACCAGGGTGTGTGTGTGTGTGTGTTTCAGGGAGAGAAGAGCCTGCAGGCGATGCCCGGGTCCAAGCCCGCCATCATCACCGCATCCAGACCCATCACTAAGATGATCGTGACGCAGCCCAAGAGCCTCAGCGCTGGGGTCACGCCCTCCACCGCCACCAAGATCATCCCCACCAAGATCGTGTACGGACAGCAGGGCAAGACACAGGTCAGAGGCGGGGCTGTGCTGTGATAGAGGCGGGGCTCATTTGCATATTCATAGAACTGGGAATACTAAATCAGGCAAGGGTGTCGAGTTACATTCAAGAAGTCGTTCACTTTCAAATATAAATGTCCTGATGATTTACTCTCCCGCACGTCATCCAAGATGTTCATGTGTTTCTTTCTTCAGTGGAAAAGAAAAGAAGGTTTTTGAGGAACACACTCCAGGGTTTCTCCATATAGTGACTTCAATGGGGTCCAACGGGTCGAAGGTCCAGATGTGAGTTTCAGTGCAGCTTCAAAGTCTCGACACGATCCAGCCGAGGAATAAGAGTCTGATCTAGACAAACCAGCGGACATTTATAACAAAATACACATTTATATACTTTTAACCACTAATGCTGGTCTTGCTCGAGCTGTGATGCGACACACATTACGTCATCAGGGTGAAAGGTCAAGCGGGACATAGGCGTAAGAGCTGTCCCAGTGTTTACAAGCTTGGAGTAGGAGGACCGTTCAAAGTTATTGTTTGTTGAATGACATGTTTATATATATTTGTGTCAGTTTATTGTTTAAAATGGTCTTTACGTGTGTGTGTGTGTGTGTGCGCATATCCTGGATGTTTAACGATGTCACGCGTGACCTTTCACCCTGATGACGTAACGTGTGTCGCATCACAGCTCGAGCAAGACCAGCATTAGTGGTTAAAAGTATATAAATGTGTATTGTGTTATAAATGTCGGCTGGTTTGTCTAGATCAGACTCTTATTCCTCGGCTGGATCGTGTCGAGACTTTGAAGCTGCACTGAAACTCACATCTGGACCTTCGACCCGTTGGACCATTGAAGTCACTATATGGAGAAACATCCTGGAGTGTGTTCCTCAAAAACCTTCATTTCTTTTCCACTGAAGAAAGAAACACATGAACATCTTGGATGACGTGCGGGAGAGTAAATCATCAGCACATTTTTATTTGAAAGTGAACGACTCCTTTAAGGCATCAAGTTGTTTTTCTTTCAAGAAAAAAAACGTTTAAATGTAATTTTGGTGATGAAAGATGAGTGTTGAGGGAGAGTTCGATCAGGAGACGCCGCAGGTTAACTTCAGTCAGGTGTGGAGGGGAAGGCGAGTCACATGACTTCTTCAGCGTCTCCCACAGGCTGTGATGCGGTCGCGTCTCCTGCACGTGTGTGTGCGCGAGCTAAAGCCGGTCGGCTGGTCAGTGTGAGCGTTCCTAACCCGAACCGTGTTGCATTACCTCTGGCTGTCCGATCTCCAGCAGGGCGGTGGCGTACCCATACACCAGCACAGCTTTATCCATCTCCGTCAGACCCAGCGCCTGAAGAAGCAGAAGTGGACACTCGTGAACCAGTGCAACCATTCAGTGTCAGAGCCCAGTGTCCAAGCACAACATTCACACACACCGAGAGTCGCTGTTCTGCAGAGTCAAACACGCGCGCTGATTCTCCAGCTGTGTTTCATACACCTGTTAATCTGAATTATGGGATATTGCATAAAAACATTGGATGGAAGCAGCAAGATGTGCATAACTTCTAAAAATGCACACAAATAACGGCCACAGAGTCTCGATCGCCCCCAGTGGCTGGTCCCAGTACAGCTCATAAACCATGAAGGCTAATGGGACGCGATGGAAACTAAACAATCAAATTACACTTCAAATACACTTTTTCCAAAGATGTTTTATGTCATTTTAGTTAGTTTTATCACGCTGATGTAAGTCTTAAGGTCCTTTCACACTGGACGCACGAATAATTCGCACGATAGTCTTATTTTTTGATCAGCTGTTTGTGTAACGAGTGCTTCCACACCGAACGCGAATGTGCTGCGGCGAAAAAACGACTTTTATTTTTTTCGCTTCGATGTCGATTTTTCTTTTACTTTTGCGGCGACAGAAAAGGCTTCAGCCAATCACATAGAAGGAAACAAAGGCGAAGCTTGTTGACGCTTTGGCCGCTCTGACGTAGCAGCATTATGTGCGAGAGAAGAGAAGTGTCACAACATGAAATATAAACTAAAAACAAGCAATACATTGAAACTAGAAACCTTTTATAATGACAGCATTTTTATATTGCCTATTCCGCATCTCAACGCACGCATACCCTATCGTTTATGACATGACGGTGTTTCTTACCAGCAAAAGAACGAGGCATGGGATAAAATAGCTGGGATAGTTGGTGTCTCCGGCAAGTTGATGAAGTGCTTGCTGATGATTTATAATATTTTTGACTAGGAGGGAAATAATTGATTTAGAATATTTTCAACATTCATGGTTGTTTCATATTATTTTTGCATGCATGTATAGGCCACACAGCAGAGCATGTGCGTAAATAAAGCAGAGCGGTGACGCTTAAATAGGCCTATTAGTTAAAAAACTCAAACAAACGTTTCATCCTACGTTTAAATAATATAATGCTATTTTTTTTTATTTCATCTATGTTGATAGCTATATGAAAAGGGAACCGCATGATAGGCTATATCGAAAACATTTGGAATGGGTCAGACATAATTTTGGCCACTTATTAAGTTTTGTTTTGTAGAAAGCCTTTCTTTAAAGTGAATTTCGTTTGGTATAAATTGTATCTTAATTTGAATCAATGTTTCATCAACAAATTGCCTGGATTAATAGGAATAAGAAGCAAATATAGTAGACAATATAATTAGGACACGGAGGCGCCGGCGCGTGAACTGGAGTGCGTCTCATACGGAAAACTGACAGAAAACACTAGTTTATTAATAAACAATTCAAATGTTTAATGCATAATCCGTACTTTGGCCGGTTCTTTGTGGCAAAGTTTTAGCTACTTTACAAGATTAGCACATTCCCCTTCAGACTCTGTTCTTTAAGATTGGGTGCACACACAAAACCTTCTTTTCTGTCTTTTAAAGAAAACGAAAAGCTCGTCTTCACTGGATGATGATGATGATGATGATGATGATGATGATGAAGTGTCCGTGTTTTCTCAGCTGTCGGTGCGGAAGTTTTGGAATGTTGAAGCTCTGAACGTCGCAAATTCGCGTCGCGGCTGATGTGAATGGTTTTGACGCGAACTATTCGCTTTTCCATTTCGCTTTTTCGTTACGCGTCCGGTGTGAAAGGGCCTTAAGTGTTCGTTTTTTTAAATAAGTCTGGTCTTAGTTCGTTATTTGATGCCATAAGAACGTGAATGTGACGTCATGATTGACAGCTGTGATTGACAGCTCCTCTAAACGGAGTCACTGAGGGACTAATGGACTTTTGGGGGATTTCCGTGAGCTGATTGGAGCTTCAACTTTCATTTCTACATGTCCATAACTGTTTATTTCACACAGTACACTTTGCAGTAACCGTTTCTGCGAGAGTGAGGGTGGGAGCTTGATAACGTGACTCACACACACTCATACACACACTAGAGCGCAGAATCAGGTCCCGAATCTGCACAAGAAGACAGCGCCATGTTAGGACTTTGGCGGCTTCACTGTTCACCAATGGAAGAGAGTGAAGGGCCGTCTTTACAGTCAATGGTGCATTCCCTCTATTGATGGATCTATACGCTTCACATCTTAAATACGGTGTGTGTGTGTGTGTGTGTGTGTGTGCAGGTCCTGATCAAGCCCAAGCCCATGGCGTTCCAGGCGGTGGTGAGCGAGCAGGCCCGTCAGCTGGTCAGCGAGACGCTTCAGCAAGTCTCTCGCAGCGCTGACCCCTCCGGATCCACTCAGGAGACGCTCCGAGACGACTCCACCGCGCTCAGCGAGTCCGACAGCGCGCACGGTAGGGACGCACCATCTGACCAACATCATAATTCACGATTAATAACTACAATTTTCACAATTTACATTGAACGATGTTTTGAATAGCTTTATACCAGTGGTTGTCAACTCTCTGGCCCACATTTCCCCATAGTCATCAAGCCCCGACACACTTTTTTAGGAATTTTATATATATATATATATATATATATATATATATATATATATATTTATACGTATGAAGAGGATCTTATTATAATATTCCCGGCCCTTAATCTGCACGTTCACACACACCAGCGACATTGGGTTCGGCGAGCGCCAACAGAGACCAGTTCTAACGCACTGGAGAAGATCCAGCAAAGCCTGAAACTGTTCTGTGGTCGAGCACAGACGACACTGAACACTATTGACCAGAACATGTCAGCGCTGTCTTATAAACACCTCAGGAACTGTGGACACTTGTGGAAGAGTTCAACATGATGAGGAGATGATCAGTGTAACTCCACAACAACTACAGAAATGTCTCCGCTAACATTCAGAAACATGTAAAAGTGAAGCTCTCCCTGAGTCTCTCCGTAAGGCTGCACTCGCTGCTGTTACTCCTGACTCTGGATCAGTGAGATCGGCCTGTGTTGTTATTGCCGGAGTCTCTGAAGCTCCGCCCTCTTCTGAACGGAGGCGGAGCTAAAGCTCATTTGCATTTAAAGGGACACACACACAAACTGCATTTTGATCAAAGCCAAAACGGGGTGAATCTTACAAGCTGTAATAAATTTAAATATCTATAAAAACATCTATATTTTGAGCTGAAATGTTATTCACATTCTGGGGACACCAGAGATTTAAAATACATCTAGTGAAAAGGGGCATAATATGCTTCCTTAAAAGTTTAATATCAGCCCCAACCTACATTTTCCACCATTTCACTCGAATTAACGTCATAACTAGTACTTTTAAAAAAAAAAATATAAATATATTTAGTTTGTTGCTCTCCCCATATTTATCGTTTATTTTATTACCATTGTTATGTACTGTTATTTTAATATTGTTATTGTTCCTGCTACTTTAAGGTGCCTTTAATAAAATGCATTATTATTATTATTATTATTATTGTAACACAGAAGACATGATCTGTAAGAATGCTCTCTGTGCTCAGACGCTCAGCCGGTGGTGCACGTGATCGCCTCCAGGGGGCAGGACTGGGCCGAGCAGGAGGTGTCCGTGGAAGCCAGTCCCACCATCATTTACCAGGACGTTACAGGAGAGTCCCAGTCGGCAACCTCCACCATTAAAGCCCTTCTGGAGCTGCAGCAGACCAGCGGTGTGTGTGTGTGTGTGTGTGTGTGTGTGTGTGTGTGTGTGTGTGTGTGTGTGTGTGTGTGTGTGTGTGTGTGTGTGTGTGTGTGTGTGTGTGTGTGTGTGTGTGTGTGTGTGTGTGTGTGTGTGTGTGTGTGTGTGTGTGTGTGTGTGTGTGTGTGTGTGTGTGTGTGTGTGTGTGTGACCCGTGTGACCCTGCATCAGTTTCTCTCAGTCAAACCAACATTATCCAGACACCTTCAACATTTCTCACATTATCACAGTTTATTCGCTATAGTTTAGAAAATGGTAATAAAATATGAGCAGAACTCAGTGGATATTTGACTGGTTTTGTCCGTCCTTCTGTTAGACTCTCACACATGAATTATGTTGAATATCTGTCAGCTGTTAAATTTAACTACACAATTAGATAATACCAGTTTAGCTCAACCAGTGACCAAGCAATGCTTCATGTTGTTCAGTCTGTGTGTAAAAAGAGCATTAGCAATTACAGAAAACACACTGAAGAAAACATCATCAGCTCAAAGTGGAGGAAGACTTTTTGGTCCCAAATATTTTTATACATTTTACTGGTAGTCACTGTATGAAGAATATTTGGGTATAATATGTTTGTTATTCTCTCTTGCATAAATAAACTATAGTGTCCTGATCACAGTAGTAAAAAAAAAAAAAAAAAGATATCTTGTGTCTGAATAAATTTTGCTGTGTGTGATGTTCCAGTGAAGGAGAAGAGCGACGCTAAGCCTCGACAGCACACGATCGACCTGAGTCAGATGGCAGTGCCGATCCCAGTGTCCTCGGAGCGGAGACAGTCCCCGGAGCCGTCGGGTCAGAACACCGGAGACGCGGACACCATCCCGGAGTACATCCCTATCGGTACATCAGCACTGACTACTAACTCCACGCAGAGTCATTTAATGCCCACATCTCAACTCTGGGTCCTCCTAAATTCAGTTTAATCAAATTTAAGATCATAAACAGTCTTAATATATTTAAATTCCCCCTGTAGTCAATAATTGTATCCCTTAAAACTCACCAAAATGACATATTTTTTTTTACATTTTTCCTTTATGCCTTAAAATATCTTGAATGTAACTCGACACCCTCGCCTCATTTAGTATGCGTGGTTCTATGAATATGCAGATGAGCCCCGCCTCCACTCACTCACTCAGCTCAGAGATCCACTGGTTGACGATCACACGTTGATCTGATTGGTTACAAGGTCGTTTGTGACGTCAGAAACACCAGCGATTTCAAGCCGTGTTTTTGAGACTGTCTTTGGTTCACTGCAGTTTTAAGGAGGAAATACTCAGCAATGCTGTCGACTTATGAACTTACACATGGTGTGTCTTAAAGCACATTAAAAACACCACATAGACACATAAACAACATTAAAAGCTGGATTTACACCACAGGGGGACTTTAAATGGTACGCTAAAACTCCTAAAGTGCCTCTATTATGCTTTTCCAGATATTCCCTCTCATGCAGTGTGTAATAAAGCTGTCTGCAAAGTTTCAAAGTGCAGATAAAAGAAAGAAGCAATTCTAAACTGCTGAAAGGAGTCGTCAGTAATTCCAGTTTTTTACTAATTAGCATAATCCCCGCCTCTGGTCTTGATTGGCTGAGCAGCGTCTCTTAGCTCCGCCCTCAAACACTGTAGTGTATCTGAGACTGGAAGAGTTCGGCTCGTGTTGTTCGTGTCGAGAAGACGCTGTTTTCTGAGATTGATACTGTGAAACCCACGCCATCATTACTGTTCGTATCACTGTGATCAAGAGCTGAGATTCAGATATGATAATGAGCGTTTGCTTTCTGACCAATCAGAGCAGAGCAGCTCTCAGAGAGGCGGAGCTTAGAGAGACTGAATCCTCAATCGAAGCGTTTCAGACACTGAGAGGAAAGAGCTGAAGCTGCAGTGGAGATCATGAGGACATTACAGTGTTTCTGAGCTTGGATGGAGATGCCAAAACAACATTAGGAGCCTTTAAAACAGCATAATAGTGGCACTTTAATAATCATTTTAAGAAGTATTAGATCAGTTCACAATCAATAAATATGGCACATTTATGCCAAACGATTGCTTTGATCTGCTGTTGATGCATTATGACCATGTTTACCTTATGATGTTTATATTATAATATATCATAGATTAGGTCGTAAGATGCATGATTTATCTTCCTCATCTCACATTTCAAAATAAGAGTCCCGCTGTATTTCAGGCTTGGTTTTCATTAAAAGGTTCATTATGCATAAAATCATTTTTTCAAAATCATAAAATAAAAATTGGGGGGATATTATTGGTATTTTTTATTACCCGATAAACTGTATCTGGCATTTAATTCAACATCAATCCTCACAGGATTTTACACATGTACTAGTATCATGCACAATAATCTGTTAATTGCCTTTCCTATCAGCATCATATCAGCAAAATCCAGTATCGATCGACATCTTAATTCATTTGTATTATGTATACGTATTGTAGTTTTGCAGTTTATGTGCCGTTCAATAAAGCAAAACAATCTGAAATGCATGATTTATTTTATTATGTTCTATATGGACATGCAGTATACATTTTATTTGTGCAAGAAGTCTTTAAAAGTCTTAATTAGATTTGAAAGACGTGTTTCTGTGCAGTTTCAGGTAAAGTGTGTAAAGCTGTGGTGGGAGGAGACGTCACTGCGTCCAGCAGCCAGAGCCAGAACCAGAACCAGAACCAGTCGAGCTCAGCCAAGAGCATCGCCACTGTAGCGTGTGGAGCCGCCGCACAACAGGTCACACACACACACACACACACAGCCCTGAGTCCACATGTGTCACTGCATCACATTTACACCGCGACTACAACTGCGTTTCACGTCTTTATGCATCAAACCCATGACCTTGAGCTGCTGTTGAAGGGATACTCCACCTTTTTTTCATATTAAACTATGTTATTCCCTTAACTAAGATACCTCTCTCGTCTCAGTGCGTGCACTCAACCGCAAACACCTCCACGTTTTCCCTATTTAAATACAGTTACACGAGCAGTGTAACTTGACCAAGAATGGTGACAAAAAATAAAACGTTGCGCTTTTCTAAGCGTGTAAAGTGGATAACTATAATGTATGGCGGAACATACAAACAAAACACAGTTTTGGTGGTTATAGAGTTCTAATGACGGTGTTCAAATACATAACATTAGACGTTAGCCAGCTGTTAGTATCATGATTCAGTATACTAGTTCGTAGGCTATTTATTTGAGATAAATTATGTTTTTTTATTAATCGAGCAGCAGAAAAATAATTGTTATATTAATCGCCCAATTAGTCGTTAGATTAGTCGACTAATGGATAAAATAATCGCCCGACTAATCGTTTAATTAATAATGGTTTACCCCAGCCCTAGTGAACACACACATAAATCATGGCCATGATGTGAACAGGTTTAATGGTCCTGAAAGCAACAGTCACACTTGTGCTCCTCGCGGTCAGAAACGCGCACTGGAAATGAAGGAGAGTTTCCTCTAGTGGAAGTGTGTGGAACTGCAGCCGAACACACTCTCACTGAACGCTCATTATTTTAGATATATCAAACTCAACTTGTTTAAATTTATGCCTTTGATTTTCTAGAAGTTTTAGAGTAAAATGTGTTTTTGAAAATATAGATTTCATATAAAAAATGGAAATAGTATTTTTGCACATTTTTCATAACAATATATATTTATATGTGTGTGTGTGTGTGTGTGTGTGTGTGTGTGCAGGTGGAGGGGAAGCCGCTGCAGGAGCAGATGCTGGTGGACGACGGCGAGTTCGAGGGAGACACGTTGGACCCTCAGACGGGTCTGTTCTACCGCTCGTCCCAGCAGCCCCTCAGCAAGCCTGTGATTGGCCCGCCGGAGACGAAGAGGGCGGAGCCTGTGCCAGCGAGAGCTGTGGTCCAGAGAGCGCCCCCTGCTGGCCCTCCACCGGTGTCCCTCACTGCACACACACCTCAGCTGCCCCGACTGCAGCAGGCGCCCACCTCACACAACCGGCCCAACACACACACACAGCTGTCCCAGCCGCCGCCGCTGCAGGCGCATCACCCCGTGGGCTCCGGGAAGAGCAGCGCGCAGGTGTGTGTGTGTGTGTGTGTGTGTGTGTGTGAGACAGGCTCAACCCTTTCAGATCGCAGATTTACTTCACGGAACAAAGAGATCATTCTGTTTTATTTATTTTTTATCAGTTTTTTCTGGATAATTTTGCTTTTTTTAAGTAACAACTCACTTAATTTTGATTTATTTCCCCAGAAAACAAAACATACTATTTTATGGCATTTTACTGATCTAGTAAATGCATCTTTATTCAAGAATTTGTAGATATTTGGACTGAAAACAAGACAAAAATACTAAGTAAGAAAAGCATTTTTCGCAGCGTAGAACCTGTTGTATTGGTGACGGTTCTGTGTGTGTGTGTGTGTGTGTGTGTGTCAGGTGCAGCAGCCAATCATCACGCAGGGCGCCAGCGTCACCAGGATCACGTTCGGCAGCCCCCAGCCGGTTCCTCATCCGGTTCCTCATCCGGTTCCGCATCTTCAGGGTCCGCCGGTGTCCAGCAGCGCCGAGGCGGCAGTGAAGCTCCAGTCCGAGTCCAGCTCCAGTGTGCCGGTGCCGGAGAAGCCCTCGGGCTCAGACATCCTGAAGATCTCCATGCTGGAGGCGGAGCTGGAGCCCATGATGGTGGACTCCTCCAGCGACTGCGGCCCAATGACCTCAGCGGCCGCCGCCTCCTCCTCCTCCTCTTCATCACTCATCAGCAGCTCCAAGCAGACGCTCGAGGCCTTCAGCCGAGCCAAGAGCAAAGAGCTGGACATCATACAGGTGTGGGTGCTGCTCTCTTGTGTTTGTGGTCAGGTGATCCCTCAGCACTGCTGTGATTGGCTGACGCTTGTGTTTGTGGTCAGGTGATCCCTCAGCACTGCTGTGATTGGCTGATGCTTGTGTTGTGATTGGCTGACGCTTGTGTTTGTGCCGAGGTGATCCCCCAGCACTGCTCTGATTGGCTGACGCTTGTTTGTGGTCAGGTGATCCTTCAGTACTGCTGTGATTGGCTGACGCTTGTGTTTGTGGTCAGGTGATCCTTCAGTACTGCTGTGATTGGCTGACGCTTGTGTTTGTGCCGAGGTGATCCCCCAGCACTGCTCTGATTGGCTGACGCTTGTTTGTGGTCAGGTGATCCCTCAGTACTGCTGTGATTGGCTGACGCTTGTGTTTGTGGTCAGGTGATCCCTCAGTACTGCTGTGATTGGCTGACGCTTGTGTTTGTGGTCAGGTGATCCCTCAGCACTGCTGTGATTGGCTGACGCTTGTGTTGTGAATGGCTGACGCTTGTGTTGTGATTGGCTGACGCTTGTGTTTGTGGTCAGGTGATCCCTCAGTACTGCTGTGATTGGCTGACGCTTGTGTTGTGATTGGCTGACGCTTGTGTTGTGATTGGCTGACGCTTGTGTTTGTGGTCAGGTGATCCCTCTGCACTGCTGTGATTGGCTGACGCTTGTGTTGTGAATGGCTGACGCTTGTGTTGTGATTGGCTGACGCTTGTGTTTGTGGTCAGGTGATCCCTCAGCACTGCTGTGATTGGCTGACGCTTGTGTTGTGAATGGCTGACGCTTGTGTTGTGATTGGCTGACGCTTGTGTTTGTGGTCAGGTGATCCCTCAGTACTGCTGTGATTGGCTGACGCTTGTGTTGTGAATGGCTGACGCTTGTGTTGTGATTGGCTGACGCTTGTGTTTGTGGTCAGGTGATCCCTCTGCACTGCTGTGATTGGCTGACGCTTGTGTTGTGATTGGCTGACGCTTGTGTTTGTGCCGAGGTGATCCCCCAGCACTGCTCTGATTGGCTGACGCTTGTTTGTGGTCAGGTGATCCTTCAGTACTGCTGTGATTGGCTGACGCTTGTTTGTGGTCAGGTGATCCCTCAGTACTGGTGTGATTGGCTGACGCTTGTGTTTGTGGTCAGGTGATCCCTCAGTACTGCTGTGATTGGCTGACGCTTGTGTTTGTGGTCAGGTGATCCCTCAGCACTGCTGTGATTGGCTGACGCTTGTGTTGTGATTGGCTGACGCTTGTGTTGTGATTGGCTGACGCTTGTGTTTGTGCCGAGGTGATCCCCCAGCACTGCTCTGATTGGCTGACGCTTGTTTGTGGTCAGGTGATCCTTCAGTACTGCTGTGATTGGCTGACGCTTGTGTTTGTGGTCAGGTGATCCTTCAGTACTGCTGTGATTGGCTGACGCTTGTGTTTGTGCCGAGGTGATCCCCCAGCACTGCTCTGATTGGCTGACGCTTGTTTGTGGTCAGGTGATCCTTCAGTACTGCTGTGATTGGCTGACGCTTGTTTGTGGTCAGGTGATCCCTCAGTACTGGTGTGATT